CAGTTGTAAGTTTAGCTTCCTGTCCAGGGATTGTACTGCCTGGGACGTGCAGTCCTTGGGAATGGGGAAGTGTTACGAATTCGGTATTTAAAAAGCTAATGTTAGTTCAATTATAAATTAAATGGTTTTATTTCTCGCGCAGTGCAGCGCGTGACGAATATTAAAATTTATACAGTGAGTGGCAACAGTAACGGACCGTCCATTAATGGGAATATCGATGGAGTTCCTTGCAATATGATCATTGACACAGGAGCTAATGTTACCATCATTAGGAAAGATTTAGCTGAACAGTTTAAAGATAAACTTATTTGGACACCATCCTGTGTTACCCTTCAGACTGCATCTGGTGATAAGATCAACATAACTGGGAAGTTAACCATAAGCATCACGTTTGGAAGTGCTGCCTACCATCACACGGCATATGTAGCAGAGATCACTGATTCTTGCATACTCGGATTGGACTTTCTAAGGAAATACAATTTTTCCTTGGACTTTAAAAATAACGAATTGCATTCTACATCTGAGGACATAGCGTTATTTGGAGTTAATGATGCTCATAAAATCATAGCACAAGACAATATCACAATACCAGCAAGAACAGAAATTTTACTTCCTGGATCCATAGCCAAAAACAGAAATTTCCGCTACATATGCCGTGTGATGGTAAGCAGCACTTCCAAACGTGATGTTAATACTTTTCCCTCGATGTCGATCTTCTCATAGGACACGGTCTGTAGGGTAACGCAGGGCAGCATCCAGATAAGTTTTTTTAAATACCAAATTCGTAACATTAAAAAAATCTGCTGTGTTCACCACATGACTTCCTTGTACACAGGAAATATTAAATTATACGCACTTTTTCTTGCATTTCATTTAAACTTATTAGATTGAATTAAACCTACTTCGCCGACCTATGTTTACTTAACTAATATACAATACTATATATTTACTAACTAATATACAATATACTAACTACTCATATTATAACTCATATTATAACTCAGAATGCACAAAATTTATATCATTTAAAGAATTATCTTATCGTTGCCACATGTTCTATTCAAATACTATAATAAAGCTAGAACTATGCATGAAAGAAATTAAGCAAACAAAACAAGAAAGAAACAGTTTTTCACAGACGATTGAGTATTTCTCATTCAATTAATTCAGTTTTCACTTCATGACAAGGCAAAAATACATAAAAACTCAAAATATCTATATTAAAAATTACGAAGTAAATCTTAAACGCTTATTTCCTCGAAAAAATTCCAGAAAGGATTAAACATGATTTAATTCGCAATAATAAATGAAGGCGATCTTTGTTGTTGTGAAGCTAAGTTTCTCTAGATGGGCAACAAATCCACTAGTCTCCTGTTTCAAATGTAAACATCAATGGCCGCCATTAAAAAAGGCTTAGCGGCAATTAAACAAACTTTAAAATTGCCGATAATTCTAAACATATTGCATACAGATTTACTAAAGGCATAAAACCCTTAACTGGAAGATAAAACAACAACATAATTCAATCATTTTTAAAGCAAAAAAATGTACAATTTACAAACATATAAGAGTAAAGAAACTGAGATCACTGAGCTGGGTAACAGAGTGGATATATTTATAAATATATTTTTATACGTTTGGCGCGGCTGATTGAAACCAAAATACGAGGTGCACATCTACATGTTATAATAGTCTTATATACAAAATTTCAACGTTCTGAAGCTAGTCATTTTTGAGTTATGCGAGATACGTACATTCGTACGTGCGCACGTACGTACATACGCCACGAAAAATTCCCTTCAGAATTTATTTTAAAGCAGTTTTTTAGTTTTTTTGGGGGAAAAGAGTCTTATTCTGCCCTTACGTACAGATATCACGCAGAAACATCGTTAAATTGCATTCGAAAGTGGTCAAAGTGGATATTTTCGTTGAAATATGCTGCCTGAAGCTTTTCGCGATTACAATACTTCCTTTTTACTTCGTACAAGGTAGTAAAAAGGAATTTTCCAATTGCTGAAGAGATGTGGAAATGTCATAGAACAAAATGGTTCTTATGAGCTTCAATGAAAATTTGTACTGCTTCATTTCTATTTATTATTGAAAAACCACAGAACTTTCAAGATGACGCAGCATTTTAATACCATAGCTGGCTACCTCAAAATCTGAAAAACTACAAGGTTTTTGCACTTGCAGAGCAATGCAATTTCAGAAGAACACTATTAGCAAATCTGATTTATTTTACAATGCAAATTCAGGTTAATATACTAATTATAACATGTTTGTGATTATTGCAAAATACATTAAATTAATGTTTATATTTAATTCATTATTCTAAATTTTTAATTTCACTTTTAGTGTTTGGCTAATTGCATTCACTTTTATTAATTTTCGTAAATTTTTTTATTGAAAACCCAAGTAAGGAGAAAATTTTTTATTAAGTATAATTAAACGGTAAAAGTAAAATTAATAATAAATGTGCATATAACCATGAAAATAAACTTAGTAATGTTTAGTAGATAATAGTAGTCTATAACTTCAAAACATTAACTTAATAAATGTCACTAACAAAATTATATATTTTATATATTAAGTCTTCATAAAATGTTCCATAAAACTCTGCAATAGATTAAAATGCATATCAAATAAAAGTTAATCCGAAAGATATTCAAAATCATTTGGGGAAAAATTGTATTTTTAAAATTGGAGTTCATCTAGAAATGATAATATAAGAGTTTTTACATTTTTTATCAAGCGCCCTCCCTTTTTTACCATTTTGGCTTCCTATGAAATTATTCATCAACAGTTCCTCTAGAACTGCATTTGAAAAAGATGATTTAATTTAGATAAATTTTAAAAACTAGAAGATTTACTGGGAAATGTGATAAAAGCCAGAAGTGTCCCCATTTTACAAGAAAAGTAGCAGCCCAGTAACATTATGTTAAAATATGCATCAAAATGTAGAATATCAAAATTTTCAAATTTAAAATAAATACTTCTTATGCACATATGATTTGTATAAAAGAGAAAAATCTGCATCAAAAACATTTAGTTTGTTTATTAATTTTTGTATAAAGAAATTTGAAATAAAATATAATATAGCTTGAATATTTATATTAAAAATATATAACTAAATTTCCATATAAAAATAAAATTTAGGTCTGAAACAAAATTTTTTATACAGGTGTTAATATACATATTCACCTGTTTACGAGAATTTTAAATTCCACATATCAAGGTTTTTATCTATAAATTTCTATATCTGATATGTGCTTGAATGTATTATAATAAAATTAAGCCATAGTTGTACAATCATAGCCTAATTTTTCGGATCTTTGACAAACATTACTAGCATTTAGATGCAAACAAACAAAGCAAAATGATGCCAAATTAAACCATATGATTGTAGATTTTGTATAAATGCATGGTTATAAAACATCAAACAATAGTATTGGAAAACATTCTGATGTATTTAAAATACTAAATAAATGTTCTTCATTTTTAATACATACAGTATTTGATTCCCAGCACTCATTTAATATCTATGCAAATGCTGATTAAAAAAATAATAACTATTAGATTTCCATAATGGTGTAAAACTCGGGTTTTGCTGATATATCACATTCCAACCACTAGATGAAAATAATTTTTGTTCACAACAGCACATCCAGTAACTAAGTTAAAACCATCTTTATAAAATGTTCTTTTCTTTCTGCTCCTTAAGATCTTCCTAGAAAGAAAATAAATACTTAATAGTAAAATTTTCATGTGTAGGAAGACAGTTTCAGAATGCATAGCAATGTATATATAAAGTATCTTACTAAAGACAAAATATTTACATCAACTAAGAAGATTTAATATCAAGTTATATGTAGTATTATTTCTACATAAAGTTATATGTAGTATATTTAGAAGATCATTAAAATGTTTCACCTGAACTTAAATATTAATGTAATGAGATTTAAAAGAATAAATCTCTTTGATAGCTCAGCAAAGCATAAAACTACAAATATTTTTACAAACATGAAATTTTAAAATTTCACTACAACATTTGTTAACCTTAACCTTTCAAAAAACTTGAAATTATATGCATCTCTCAGGTAAGGTTTCTGTCAAAAGACATATAGTTTTTCCAGAGCAGTGGAGATCAGGAAGAAATTAATAAGAATAATGTAAAAGAGATAAAGCTTACTTGCATTATTGTTATTAATTTCTTCATGAAAAAGCTAAAGCAGAGAAATTTACAACAAACAATTTAACCTGTTTGAAAAGAAATGTTTTATTACTTCTGCAATAAAATGGAAATTAAATTATTTTGTAAAAAAAAAAAAAATCTAGTGTAAAGTGTTGCAGAATTATACATTAACTAAAGTTACATTCATTACACATTTACTGAAGTTACATTCAATGATTTTTTTCCTCTCAAAAATGTTGCCCCTATAAAAAAAAAAATTATCATTACAATTTAAGATTTTATAAATGAATTGTTCTTTTTAAAATTTATATATTTAAATAATACTTCTTAAATATTTCAAATTTGCAAAACAGATTATTTTATGCAAGAGGAAAAAAAAAAAAAAAAAGGGTTCATTTTGTTGTAGTATTTTTGCATGATGTTAATGATGAAATAGATTCAATTTTATAACATATATATGAAATGTAATTTCTCATACATTATTTGTTTTGTGCAGCCGGGGCAACAGGAATGAGACAAATTTTGGAATATAAAGTGGTAGGTTTATTTTAGCATCCATCTCACAAGCTTCTCCTCGTACCTTGAGCAGAAGCCCTACTTATACATATGTGTACGTCACGAGGCTCCTCCAATCAGCGATATTAATTGAAATCACGAGGTGACGCTATCTTCTCATCAGGAGTGTTCTTAAGTACTTTATGTAATATGACAGATTTATGAGTTTGGCGATTTGGCGGGCGCCAACAGGTTAATATATTTTATACTAAAGAAAGGATTTCGCCAAAATTTAGGAACAGGGATGCAATTTAGGTAGAGAATCGCCAACACATTATTAAGCAATATTAATAGAATTTAATTTAATCAATTGATTTTAAAAATATCATTACAGATTATCCCCCCCCCATCTGAAAAGGCTTGCAGTCGCGGCCGTCGACCCAAGACAGTCCAGATAGTGAGAGCAGAAAATTTAGTTATTAGGAAATTAAGTGAGTAGGAAAACTGATTGGATTTACCTCAAGGCACACAAAATGTTTACATAAAATATATGACATAAAATATTTGAATATAATTAATACAGTATATAAAATATAATAAATGATTAATGAAATTATAATATAGTAACTAAGTGCAGAACAAATAAAGCACTAATAACATATTGCTGGTTAGCTACGCGGCAATAGGAAATAGTAATATAACTGAATTTGTAAGTTTATATCTTAGGGCATGCCATTCACAGTTTGTGTATGAGTCCGTACAATCATTAGAGTTGTCATTCAGGCTCATCTTCAGTCTTTTACTGGTCTTTGGAGATCTCCGGATCATTTAATTAGCGCTAGAATTATGGATCAGCATTGGCACTGAAAACATTTGAGTTTTTATGTCACGATACTAGAGCTCTTATACTCTTGTTGAAAATACACATTTTGCTAGGTTTTTAACATATTTTGTCACTCTATTTTTCTCTTATTAATGATAACAAACAAAAATTTAACTTCCAACATCCATACCAGTTTTTTGTACACGATGCTGCAGAAACATAAAATGAAATTCAGAAATTTCAACAACTGAAATTTAACTTTTTCAACTGTTGCTACAATTTATAACACAAACATAGGAAAACATAGGAGCTCAAGGAAATGTGAGGGTATAGTATTCTACTTGTAGTATAGCCTCAATTGAGTGTTTCCCACACGGAAAGTGCATTGAACCTGAAACTCAAGTTTGAAGGAGCCCAGTAAAAGAAAAGGGCAGACAAACTTTTCAGACACTGAGAGATAAATCAACTATTAAGGGGGACAACAGGATGAAAACTAAAAGAAGGGTTATGGATAGTTTTATTGATTTATAAATTTTGATTTATTCATGATGTAATTTAAAGTTCTCGGGTGGATAATAGAACCTTAATTTTGACGCATGTACAATCTCAGTTGGTTTCTTCGTGTGTGAAAATTTTCCCTGTCGATTTCATAATTAACTTCAGATAATTTATTCATAATCCGATAAGGGCCTGAATAGGGTGAAGTCAATTTTCTAGTATTTGGGTATTCAAATTCCTCGTAAAGGACAAAATCTCCAGGTTGAAATTTAGATTCTACAAATCTGATGTCATATCTAGTTTTATTCTTTCGGTGGTATTCGATAGTTCTTTTCTTTGCTAAAGCCCTTGCTTCATTTAAGGAAGGGTATTTATTTTGATCAATTGGAGATTCAAAAGGGAGGTTACCAAATAGTAAGTATGCTGGGGTGAACTTAGTTACCGTATGAGGGGAGTTGTTATATTCGATAACAACTTGCTCTAGCACTTTAGTCCATGGTACTTTTTAGAAGAAGAATTTACTTTACATTTTAGTCGACTTACTATTGATTGATTTACTCTTTCTACTTTACCATTTGTCTGGGGATGGTGAGATGAAGTTAAAAGTTGTTTAACATTATGCTTTTTAAGAAATTTTTTGAATCTAGAGGAAGTGAAGGCTGCATTCCTGTCACTCAGAATTTTTTTCGGGGACTTGTATTTGAAATATTTGTTTTAGACAATTGGCATAGGTTTCTGAAGTTACACTTTTAGAGGGAAAAGCCCAGACATATCTTGTTGCATGGTCAATAACTATATGTAAATATTTTTTTGTAGAATTATAATAATTAAATCCTCCCACAGTGTCAATAGAGAGACATTCGAAAGGTTTGTCGGTTGGGGGTACGTCTTGCATAAGACCAAATTTTTTCTGTTTTTTTCTTTTTATTAAGTTGACAAGTATGACAATGTTTAACAAAATTTCCGATATCTTCGCTAATATGAGGCCAATAATATTGAGGGGTGATTAAGTTAAGCATAATTTGAACTCCCGGGTGACCAAAATTTTCATGGGTTTTATTCAACAATTTTAATCTTAAAGATTTAGGTACTACAATTTTATAAAAATTCTTTTTCTTAATTACCATCATATCATTTATCTCTTGGTAATTTTTTCCGCAGACATTATCAGTTTTTTGTTGTTGGATTATTTCATTTCTATCAAGTAAATGTACATAATGTTGGAGGTGCTGTGAAACAGGATGTCTAGAAAGCATGTCAGCTTCAATATTGGTAGAGCCCTTCTGATACTTTACTTCATAATTGAACATACTTAGTTTGAGTGACCAACGGAAGAGTCTACCTTTTAAATTTTTAACATTTTTGAGCCAAACGAGGGCCGCATGGTCCGTATGTATAACAAATTTTTGTCCATGCAGATAGTAATAGAATTTGTCTAGGGCATCTACTATGGCCAAACATTCTAACTCAGTAATCGTATAATTTTTCTCATAATTTCTTAAAGTTCGGGAATGATATGATACAGGGTGAAGGACATCATTTTCATCTGGTTGTTTCAAAACAGCTCCAACAGCAGTTTGAGAAGCGTCAACAAAAATATGACATGGCCTACTGGAATGATACAATTGTAAAACGGGTTTGGAAATCAGTATTCTTTTTCATTTCGTCGAAAGCTTTTTGATATTGGTCATCCCATTCCCACTTGACATCTTTTTTCAAGAGTCTGTTTAATGGAGCTCTAATAGTTGCATAATTCGGAATGAATCTATGATACACATTCACACTTCCCAAAACTCTTTGTAACTCTTTGGTGTTACTGGGGTTTTTAAGTTTCTTAATAACTTCTATATTATGGTTATCGGGAATTATTCTACCATTTTTTATTTCATAGCCAAGAAATGTGATCTGATCTCGGGCGAACACACATTTGTTTCGATTCAATTTAATATGCTCCTCTTTAAACACCTCAAATAAAATTTTTAAATGTTCTAAATGTTCCTTCTCAGAGGAAGAGTAAACGATTATATCATCAAAGTAACTGCAAGCGAAATTAATTTTATTTTTTGTTAATATTCGTCTAATTGTTCTGTTAAAAATTGCAGGAGCATTTTTGAAACCAAAAGGGAGTCTTAACCATTCGAATAATCCAAAATTCGTGCAAAAAGCTAATTTCTCAGTATCTGCAGGGTGAATCGGGAATCTCAAATCAATTGTAGAAAAGCTTTACTTTTGCTAACAAAGTGTCAATGCGAGGAAGAGGGTTTGCATCAGAGCAATTTCGATATACACAATCTAGTTTTTTTCCTCACGTTTAATACTAAAGGGGGGACGAATATGGGCTACAACTTTTTAATTATACCTGCTTGTAATAATTGATCAATTTGGGTCTTAATTTCCTCTCTTCCATAGGGGGATGTTCTATAAGGTCTTAATGATACAGGCAAATCAGAATTTAAATTAATTCGTTGAGGTTCAATATTAATTTTTCCTACATCATACTTATTTTAGAAAACACAGATGAATAATCATTTAACAATTTTTTAAAGTTATACTCTTTGTTATCGACAGTATTAGAAACAGCATTTTTCACATAAATGTTAGACTGAGAAACTAATTCCTTTGGATTTGTAGTCCGATTTACAGGTTGGAAAAATTTCTTACATCATCATCATCATTATTAACACATGGATAAACATTTGTTGTACCACCTTGAAGTTGG